TTCTTGTTTTTTATTTATTAATGAAAATATATCTGTAGAATTTTGGAGTCTTTGTTTTTGTCCTTGTGGTATCGAAAATGGTATCGAGTATCGAATATTTTCCTTAGTATCGGTATCGAGTTGAAAAGTTTAGTATCGTGACAACCCTAATGTGAGAGCCAAACCTCAGGGTTTAAAAGCCATTATTCAATTATTAATGTAACTGTTCTGTCTTACTGTTGCACTACTATTATACATGTTATCATTTCACAAACGTTGCACTATTTTGGACTTTGAGAGCCAAAGGTTTATTCAACTATTGTCACCCATTCCAGGTAGGCAATAAAAAGTTCTACTGGATTCACTTTGTATTAGTCTTTTCCTGCTTCACAAAGGTAGGCAGCAGCTTGAAAAAAACCATGATGGCAATTATTTTACATCCAAGTAGTATGCAGTTCTTCATATATACACACATACATCAATTTCAATCAGATGGTTTCGGTATCGGCCAATACTGTACAGCCAGGTATTGTGTATCCGTATCGGGGCCAAAAAATGGCATCAGTGCAACACTACTCTTTATGTAGGACTATAAAAAATTTGTAGTGTTGTTACTTCTGGAATAAGCCGAGTACTGATGACGGTGAATCTGTTAATATTTGAAATGTTTGGGATTCTCATGTATTTTTCTTTGACTTTGAACATTTTTCTTTCTGTATTTTTAGGTTTTCTGTGTTTCACATATTCATGTCCTCCAGACAAGGAAATCTTTTTTCATTTTATGTAGCTTTGATATGTAAAATCCCCACTACTCAGGTGTAATCATGTGTGCAACACAGAATCCTCTCTGCTGTTTATTTAGTCGTCTCTATACTTTCAGGCACGTTGGAGGACGCTACCTGTCCATGTCCTCGTCTCGGAACCGAATATTTGACGACGTCTAACTCTGCTCCACCCCAGCATGCATGCTAACGACCCAACAGTCCGAGGAAAATCTCCACCCTCTGGCTCCGCTGCAGGTCCATGACGCCACTTTGAAGGATCTTTACTGATATTACGGTTATTTATGAAGCTGATTTCCTCCTGAACTTGCTGCTGAGCGCCTGCCTCCGCCTGAGCATGCTCACGAATGTACAGCCGCCAAACGTCTATCGAACACTGATGAAGGTCCTATATTACTTTTATTTATATTTTACTTTTTCCTTCATGTTTGTGTTGTAGATCAGTGTAATTGTGAAAACCTTTGATTCGTGTTTATAAACCAGTTTGCACTTGACCTGAAACGTCTGAACTACTTATTTTGGAGAGAAGCTTTCGGTCCTGAAGCTTCTGCCGGAGCTCATCATTTGGGCTTCTGACTGTGAACACTGTGCACGTCACATTAAAGGAAAACTGTAGTGAGTTTTGTCATTTTTCATGTATAAAATGAAGATTGCAAGGCATCTAAAGGATGTCTGTATCTGCTTGTTTCAAAAATGTGTTCTAGACCTCTGAATGAAAATCCTTTTTATATTTATCTGATTAGAAATTCAGTTACAAACTAAAACTAAAGCAGTGACTTAGCTGAGTTTAACCCTATTTTATAATTCTTTATTTATTTGTGACCTGAAGAAAAAGGGCCGATTACAAAGCCCTGAGAAACTCTGGATATCAGCACCACACCAATAACTAACCCGTCTGTTTAATGGGGAACAACAAGTTACCGTAGTGTAAAATAACCTGGTGAATTTTATAAATATAACTTATTTCACGTCTTCATAGGATCATTGTTGCACTTCAGGTAAACAAAAAAACAACAGATGATGATAGAAGAAGAATAACTGTTTACCTTTATCACTCTTGTGTATATACGGTATGTATAATATGTTTTCTTTGTATAATATGGGTTACTTAATCATGTGAGTTTGTATTTAAGGTTTCCTCCATGTAGAAGCAGCTACTGTCATTATTGTCTGTTCCTCCTGCTACTGGTGATTCTGGTGATGAAGTTATGGAGTGTTCTGAGTATTTAGAAGAAGAAAATATCCACTTTCCTCTACAGTGTTCTGTCAGAAAAATAAAAACGGATTCATGCTAAAGAAGTTTAGCTGTTCTGCTTTTGTCATGTGGATAGAGGAATTTACGGTGGCCCTGAAGTGCAAACTGCAACTACGAATCTAAAAGCGCAACTACATTAAGAAAAACAAAACTACATAAAGCAAAGCGCAACTACATAAAAGCTAAAGTGTGTAATTTTCAGCGACATCTAATGCCCAGACTGCAGACCGCAGCAACATGAACATCTCCCCCCCACCGCTTCTCCCCCCCAACAGTACGGCGAGCGTTACGGGA